GAAGAGTGGACAGATGGGATGGAGGCTTTTGAAGGAAAATCTCCCTTTCCCTCCTGCCTCTGTGCATTTTACTCACCTTGAGCCTCACTATGCCCAGGAAGCCCCCTGCAGGGATTCTGCTTCTTTCCCAGCCTAGTCCCACTTACTGCAGGTTCTCCGGGGAGCTGGCCTTGCCTCCCCAGAGCAGAGCAGCAAGTAGGACCAGAGCTCAAGTCAGGGCAGTTAGGCCCAAAGCCTGCCCTCCAAAAAGCCTGGTTTTGTCCCTCCCAGTGAAGAAGAACGTACACAAGAACAGACAGGTTACTGATCTCCGGAGTTGTGTGCTGTACACTCAGGATGTATGCCAGGAAAACTGTGTATATGTGCCCCAGTGTGTGTGTGTGAAAAGCAGGTTTCAGTACTTGTGTGAGGTGTTTCCTGGGTGACCAGTAAGTACATGCACGGGCAACAATATATTTGTCCCCAGCATGTGTGTATGTGCATGTGCGCGTGCGTTGGAGGGTGGGCAGGAAATCATTTTATTTTTCCCTATGTGGTCAACAGTGTATGTTCTGATGTATACAGAGTGAGTCCCTGTAGGCATGACTAGCAGAGATCTGGAATTGTGTGCGATAAGCAGTATTTATGGGCTTTGAGTAGATACCAATGTGTGGGAAAGTGGGAATGGAAACCGCCTTCCCAGCATGGGCTTGGGAACTCCGTGTCCTTCCCCACCCTCCCTGCTCTCCTACCAGGCTCTCCCATCCCCTCCCATGGCTATCTCCAGGTCAAGGTCCATTGGCCTCTCAGTGGCACAGCCTCTAGGGGGTTCTGACTCCTGCTGGCAGCCCAATAGGCAGGAGGTGGTGGTAGCTGGGAGGAAGGGGTGGGACCATCCCACAGAAGGAAACGCATGTTCTGAAAACTGCTACAATAGCTGGGCCTGAGGGAAGGGGCCATTCCCAGATGGCTCTGGGTTAGGGCTTCCTCTGTCCTTACCTAGCTGAGGGGAGGACAGCAGGAGGGGCTGCCCCAGGGGCCTTAGCCTCACACCGTGCCTTCTTCCTGCCCTTGGGTTCCCAGGTCAGGACGCCTGGCTCCTCATCTGTCTCCCTCATTGCCCATCACAAGTTGGACTGTTACCTTGGTTGTTTTCTCCCCTGTATCTTCTCTTTTCCGCCTCTCTGCTTCCTCCCCAAGGCTCACATCCTGGGGATTAACTGCAAGTTCATGCAGTGGTCTCCCAGCTGCCGGCTGGTGGTCTCCCACAGCATGCTGGTCCCCAGAGATGTCCTAACATCTCTAATCATACTATTTCCATGCCTAGCACATCCCCAGGCTGGCCAGGGCCTGTAGGGTAAAGTCCACACTCTGGCCCTACTCTCCATGATCTTTCCAGATGGTGTCCACTGGGTGTGGGCCCCAGGCCCCCAGGAGTTCTTCCCATTGCCTCTACTTCCTATCCCTGTGCCTTTGCAGAAGCTCTTGCCTCTACCTGGAGCTCCTGCCCTCCTTCAGTACCTTTCACTGTTAAAAGTTTCTCTACCCATTTTTGAGGTGCCTCTCCCATGCCCCCCTTACAAGGAGCCTTTTCCAGCCCTCTCTGTGGTGAACCTGCAGACTGAGCTCTGGGTTTACCCTTGCTACCCTGTGCTTGGTTGGGATTTCCTCATCTTTTTTCCCTGCTAAACTCTCTGAGGTAAGGGGCACAGTGTAGGGACTCGGTCATCAGAGGCTGTTGAAACAGACTTCCTTCTCTGAATCTTTCTCCTCTGTAAAATGGAATCCAGCCTTTTTAATCATAACAAAGGGCTGGTATTTGTTGAGTCCTTACCATGTTCCAGATAAGTGTGCTGACAGATATCCCTGTATTGTCTATTTAATCTTCACACAACCTTGTGCGACAGAAACCTTTGCCATTCTCATTGCACCCATGAGGAAATAAAGGCATAGAGAGGCCACATGACTTACCTAAAGGGTTGCCTGGGATTCGTATCCAGGCCAGCTAGCCTGCCTCTGCAGACCTAACTGCTGAGTAAAGGGCCAAGTTACAGAACTACAATTTCCCCTTGTCTAACTCCACCTGTAAGTGGGGAAGTTTGCCCTAGGAACCCGGGGCCTGAGGGGGTGCTGGGGCCCATTAGAGCATCGATTTACCGCTTCTGGGTTCTGAGATTTGGGTTGGGCAACACGGCACTTCCTCCTCCCATTCTTGGCTCAGTCTGGATTCCACCATCAAGAGGAAGAGGACGACAAGAGAGCAGAGCAGCGGTGGGAGACGGAGGCTTTCACCCCAGTTAGCTCTTATCAGTGCTCACAATCCTGCTCTCTGAGCCTCAGCTGCTAAATTTAGGAAACAAGAGTCGGTCCGGATGATACCTAAGACCACTTCCAGCTCAGTCAATCCATGTGTTGCCCAGGTTTTCAGCAGTTTGTCTCCCCATTTGGACCCTCAGTTTCTTCCTTAGTAGAAGGGAGTGTGAGCACCCCTGCCCTACTGCAAAAGCAGTAAATGACTACGGAGAAAATTCTCCCATTGCTCTCAGCCAAGTTGGAGCAGAGCCAATAAAAGGTGGTTTTAAATAGCTAACAGCTCTCGTACTGCTCCCCAACAGCTGGAAACACAACAGTGGCGGTTCCCAAAAGGCTACTCTCCACTGGGGCTAAAAGGCAACCCCTCCTAACCACCACCTCAGAGATTTCCCTGTGGCCCCTAGGACTGAGGTTGCAGAGCTTCTGAAAAGGGGAAATGCATGGTTCAAGGCAGAAGGGGAGTTAGAAAGGATTCTGGGTGAAGCCCCCCTCAGAGGGGAAGAAGAAAGGGGGAGAATGTAGAGGGTGTTTATAAAGGCGCTGGGCCAGGGCTCCAGTTCTGTCTGCCACTCAGATGCTGTGTGACCCTGGGCAAGTTGCTTCCTGTCCATAGAAGTGACAGTTGTCTGTCTGTAACTGAGAGGAGGAGGTGAGAACTTCTGAGGCCCCTTCCACACTTAGAACATCACAATCATCCTCCTTTCCTCCCACTTTGAGCCGATAGTGGTTTGGGCTTCTGCTTTCTCTTTCCTTTTAGTTTTAATTTAGTCCACACCACTTCTCTCCCTTGAACTTTGGCCACAGAAGCAATCTCTGGTGTCATTTCATGCTGTGTTTTGGAGAGAGCTGGGTGGGAGGGACACTCGAATCGAAGCTCTTTAGGTTTGGGACCACAACACTCTAACTTTTTATGCATTCAGCATCTGACATAGATAAGGCACTCAATAAGTATAAGCTGCAGAGTGAATGAATGAATGGATGTATGAATGAATGAGGTGCCTTGGATTCAGAGTAGTGGTTGCTCCCCTCTCTGCCACAGCTCCAAGAAAAAAATGTGGTTTGTTCTGCAGGTATCTGAGTTTGTTGGCGGGCTTGTTGGCAATAATAGCCTTGCAACTGGCCCCCCTTCCCTCAAAAGTTTTTCTTACACACACAGCTAGATGCATACCTTCCTACCCAAGAACCAAAGGCTCCCCTTAGGTTATGAGGCAAAATCCTGACATACAAGGCCCTCGGTGGTTGGATGCAAACTCCCATTTCTAATCCATCTCTGCCACCCACAAACCCTGAGGATCTCTCTCCTACCACTGGCCATCCCAGAATACAACCCACCTTAGCTGAAAATTAAGTGAAAACCAGGTGTTGAGGGACTCTAAGTGTCTTGTACATTAGAAGTGCTCAGTTTGTGCTATCGTCACTCCTGGTTTCTAGGAATTCTAGAAATTCCTGGGTTCTTCTCTTGTGTGTTCCCCTCAGCCTCCTGAGGCCTCCCAGTTTCTGTTCCCTTAGATTCCATTGCTCTTTCCTTTCCACTCTCAGCCTGACTTTCTCTCGGTACATATTTTAAGGCACTTTCCTACTTGTCTCGGGATGTCTCTGTGGTCTGCAGCTGACTTCTTGAAAACAAAGCTCAGAAAACATCTTGGGATTCATTGCTCAGCTCCTACAGGGTGCCTGGCTCAGGCAGGTGGTGCCAGCTGCTGACTCCAAACCAGGCAGGCCCCCACGGGCACTTCAAGGCATCAGCTCAGTTACCCGACAAAGGCCAGGAGACAGGTGCACTGGGGCCCCGTTTTACAGATAAGGACACTGAGGCTCAGCGAGATCACATACATGCTCACAGTCAGTTAGTAGCAAGTCCGACTCCACAGCTCTTAACCGTGTTGCTCATTTATCTTCTGGTAACAGTTACATTAAGTTGGGCAAATACCCAAAAAAGTGCTCAGCTGACCCTCCTGGGGTCTGGGCTCACAGCCCTTGGAGGGAAGGAGTGGAGAAGACACAGGTAAATTGTCTTACTCTCAGACTCATTATGTCAAAGATGAAGAGAGTGCTCTTCAAAACTGTTGGATCTAACCCCTCACTGTACAAATGGAGAAACTGAGGCCCAGCAAGGGCAGTGGCTGGTTTAAGGTCACACAAGACCAGACACCAACACCACCCACCCCTTGTTCCCTGCATGGCTACTACATTAAACACATCCTGGACTGCCAGGATAGGTCAGGTCAGCCAGCATAGGGAGCAGAGCCCTTCAGCCAGCAGGCACCTTCATGCCACGGTCGCTGGACAACTTAAGATCCAAGTCTCGGGGCAGGAACACAGATGGGGCAGGGAGGCAGAGAAACTGCAGCGGGGCCTCCTGCTTATCAGTGATCTCTGCCAAGCAGAAACTTCCCACAGCCCTCCCCAGAACACCATCGTATCTGGTGCCCTTGAACAGTTCAAAAGAGGAACTGTGGGTCTGGTTGTGATGGGTGAGGTGCACACAGAGAAACACCCAGGCAGCAGAGGGAGGAGAGGGGACCTGAGGCCCAGAGTGGACTGGTCAGCAGTCTCAGGCTGGACATGGGTGCAGACTCCCGTTCAGGGTTCCCAGGGAAGAGCATGCAGACCAAACTCCCTCCTGAGCAAGCTGCACCTCGGCTCCAATGAGGATGATCCAGGTTGCAGGTTCTAGGTCAGAAACACAGACCCCCATTGGAAGTGTGTTTGTGTATTTATGTGTCTCTTTTTATTTAAAGAAAGAAGGGGAAAGAGAATGATTTGGAGACACATCTGAGAATGTTAGAAGAGAAAGCCAAGATTTTTGTCCAACTCTCTCACTTTGTAGATAAGGAAACAGAGACTCAGGGATGGAAAGAGACTGGCCCAAGCGCAGAAAGCAAGTGAATGCAGATGCCCCGGATCTGGACTCCCGGTTCAGTGCTCTAGTGCACGACCTGGAAGGAGGTGGGCAGTGAAATGCCGGGAGGCTCGTCACTCCCTCCCCTCCCGCAGTACCCTCAGCTGGCACCCGCCACCACACCCCACCATTTGAAGCACAGACATCACTCATTTCACAGACAGAGGCTCAGTATGTTTTTGGATTTGATCAAATCCAAACCAGGGCAGAGGCTGTGGCAAAGGACAGAAGCTGGGAAGGGCTGAGGAGGAAGACGGAGAGCGGACGTGGACGGGATCGATGGCTATGGTTCTTCAGCCGCTCAGATGTGCGCAGGGGTGTGACCGAGCCGGGCCATTGGTGGCCTGCGGTAAGGGGAGCCTTTTCTAACCTCAGCTGAAGACCTGAGCCATGCTGAGCCCTCCCCCCACCCCACCCCTTCCTTAGTCTCTAGAGCTATTGGGCGTGGTCACGGCGGGCGGTGCTGCTGACCATTTCTCAGCAGGAGTGCCGTCAGAGCCGGTGGCCCTCGTCATCGCCTCCACAGATAGCCAGCAAGGCCTTCAGGAAGTGTCCAGAGGTGTCACCCTGGCAGGGGTGGAGGGAAAGCAGAGTGAGCGGAAGACCCTGATGGCCTCAGTGCCCCCTCCTCCCAGCCGCTGTCAGCCTGGGTGTCTCCCTAACACTTAAGCGCACGGATATCCCTTCCGATATCCCTTCCGTGGCTCCCCATTATCTCAGGGAAAGCTCTCGGTCTGGCTTTAAGGCCTCCTGTGGTCTGACCCCCATTAAGCTCTGTGGTGTCATCCTCCCTTCCTTCTGGGAGCATCTCGGTTACCTTTACACCTGCTATCCCTTGTCTGGCACACCTTCTGTGCGGCCCCCAAATCCTGCCGGCCACCAGATGTCCCTCCTCCTTGAGCTCTCCCACCCTCTACTCTTGTCTTGTGCAGAGTGACCCCACTTCCTTTGGCTCCCCTGCACTCTGCTAATACCCTTTCCCATGGCATCAGAACATGTTATGGGAGCAGACACGGAGCACTTACTGGATATCCGGCCTTTGCAGGAATTTATGTGACTATCACTGTGTTCAAGACACATTATAATGTGCAGCATAAAATAGGGCTGGGATGGGGGAGGCCAGACTTTCACCCTCCTTTTAGAGGGCCTTCTGTCATTTTTATGATACACAGTTTTTGGTTTGGATTTTTTTGTTTGTTTTTTGTTTTGTATTGATCCACGATTTAAAAAATAATATATCATCATTATAAACAATTCAAATTATACAATAATTTGTATTACACAAATTATTATACAATAAAAGTCTCCCTCAAACCCACGACTCACTCCTAATTCCCCAAATCAGGAGGTAGCCATTGTTACTATTTTCTTGTATGGTTTTCCTACAATAGTCGGTGCATATATACAGATATGTGCATCCCTTCCCTACACAAATGGACACACAGCATTCATGCTATTCTGGGCCATACTTTTTCTATTTAGAGAAGATTCCCAAATCAGCACATAGAGCTGCTTCATGCTTTATCACGGCTGCATGATATTCTACTGTGTGGATATACCATCATTTATTTAACCAGTTCTATAAGGAGCAGTTCCAATCTTTTGCTACTATAAACAGTCCTAGCATAAATATTCTCTTTCACATCTTTGGGAACATGTGTATCTATGTCTGTAGGCTACATTCCTACAAGTAGAATTACCAAGTCCAGAGTGTACACATTTTAAATTCTGAAATGGCCAAACTACCCTTTAAAGATGTGTTACCAATTTATATCCCCAGCAGATCTGTGTGAGATTGTCTGTGAGATTTCCCACAGTCTTGTCAACCAAGCACAAGTATCAAAGTAAGATCTTGGCCCACCTTAAAGACAAAAAAAAATGGGCCCTCTAAGCAGACAAAAGATCACATATTACATGATTCCACTTATATGAAATATCCCAAAAAAGGCAAATTTAGAGAGACAGAAATTTGCTTAATGGTTGCATAGGGTGGAGGTGGGGACAGGTTCTCTGGTACAAGGGATCTCACTAGGGTGACAGAAATTTTCCAAACTGGATTGTGTTGATGGCGGCACAACTCATTAAATTTATAAAAAATTATACCCTGAAACAGGTGAATTTTATGGTATTTAAATTATACTTCAATAAAGTTGTTTCTAAAAGAAAAAAGGGGGAGTCTCTTGTTTTTTTTGGAAACCCTTAATTATAGACTTCTGACCCATATGGAAGTTATAATGCATAAACAATGAGGCAGGTTTCATTCAGCTTTTTCCCAGCTGTCCTCAGAGGGGACTCACTGAGAAAAAGACTGGGAGTAAGAAGGTCTACTCTCACACTCAGGGATGGGACAATGTGCGCGTGCGTTGGAGGGTGGGCAGGAAATCATTTTATTTTTCCCTATGTGGTCAACAGTGTATGTTCTGATGTATACAGAGTGAGTCCCTGTAGGCATGACTAGCAGAGATCTGGAATTGTGTGCGATAAGCAGTATTTATGGGCTTTGAGTAGATACCAATGTGTGGGAAAGTGGGAATGGAAACCGCCTTCCCAGCATGGGCTTGGGAACTCCGTGTCCTTCCCCACCCTCCCTGCTCTCCTACCAGGCTCTCCCATCCCCTCCCATGGCTATCTCCAGGTCAAGGTCCATTGGCCTCTCAGTGGCACAGCCTCTAGGGGGTTCTGACTCCTGCTGGCAGCCCAATAGGCAGGAGGTGGTGGTAGCTGGGAGGAAGGGGTGGGACCATCCCACAGAAGGAAACGCATGTTCTGAAAACTGCTACAATAGCTGGGCCTGAGGGAAGGGGCCATTCCCAGATGGCTCTGGGTTAGGGCTTCCTCTGTCCTTACCTAGCTGAGGGGAGGACAGCAGGAGGGGCTGCCCCAGGGGCCTTAGCCTCACACCGTGCCTTCTTCCTGCCCTTGGGTTCCCAGGTCAGGACGCCTGGCTCCTCATCTGTCTCCCTCATTGCCCATCACAAGTTGGACTGTTACCTTGGTTGTTTTCTCCCCTGTATCTTCTCTTTTCCGCCTCTCTGCTTCCTCCCCAAGGCTCACATCCTGGGGATTAACTGCAAGTTCATGCAGTGGTCTCCCAGCTGCCGGCTGGTGGTCTCCCACAGCATGCTGGTCCCCAGAGATGTCCTAACATCTCTAATCATACTATTTCCATGCCTAGCACATCCCCAGGCTGGCCAGGGCCTGTAGGGTAAAGTCCACACTCTGGCCCTACTCTCCATGATCTTTCCAGATGGTGTCCACTGGGTGTGGGCCCCAGGCCCCCAGGAGTTCTTCCCATTGCCTCTACTTCCTATCCCTGTGCCTTTGCAGAAGCTCTTGCCTCTACCTGGAGCTCCTGCCCTCCTTCAGTACCTTTCACTGTTAAAAGTTTCTCTACCCATTTTTGAGGTGCCTCTCCCATGCCCCCCTTACAAGGAGCCTTTTCCAGCCCTCTCTGTGGTGAACCTGCAGACTGAGCTCTGGGTTTACCCTTGCTACCCTGTGCTTGGTTGGGATTTCCTCATCTTTTTTCCCTGCTAAACTCTCTGAGGTAAGGGGCACAGTGTAGGGACTCGGTCATCAGAGGCTGTTGAAACAGACTTCCTTCTCTGAATCTTTCTCCTCTGTAAAATGGAATCCAGCCTTTTTAATCATAACAAAGGGCTGGTATTTGTTGAGTCCTTACCATGTTCCAGATAAGTGTGCTGACAGATATCCCTGTATTGTCTATTTAATCTTCACACAACCTTGTGCGACAGAAACCTTTGCCATTCTCATTGCACCCATGAGGAAATAAAGGCATAGAGAGGCCACATGACTTACCTAAAGGGTTGCCTGGGATTCGTATCCAGGCCAGCTAGCCTGCCTCTGCAGACCTAACTGCTGAGTAAAGGGCCAAGTTACAGAACTACAATTTCCCCTTGTCTAACTCCACCTGTAAGTGGGGAAGTTTGCCCTAGGAACCCGGGGCCTGAGGGGGTGCTGGGGCCCATTAGAGCATCGATTTACCGCTTCTGGGTTCTGAGATTTGGGTTGGGCAACACGGCACTTCCTCCTCCCATTCTTGGCTCAGTCTGGATTCCACCATCAAGAGGAAGAGGACGACAAGAGAGCAGAGCAGCGGTGGGAGACGGAGGCTTTCACCCCAGTTAGCTCTTATCAGTGCTCACAATCCTGCTCTCTGAGCCTCAGCTGCTAAATTTAGGAAACAAGAGTCGGTCCGGATGATACCTAAGACCACTTCCAGCTCAGTCAATCCATGTGTTGCCCAGGTTTTCAGCAGTTTGTCTCCCCATTTGGACCCTCAGTTTCTTCCTTAGTAGAAGGGAGTGTGAGCACCCCTGCCCTACTGCAAAAGCAGTAAATGACTACGGAGAAAATTCTCCCATTGCTCTCAGCCAAGTTGGAGCAGAGCCAATAAAAGGTGGTTTTAAATAGCTAACAGCTCTCGTACTGCTCCCCAACAGCTGGAAACACAACAGTGGCGGTTCCCAAAAGGCTACTCTCCACTGGGGCTAAAAGGCAACCCCTCCTAACCACCACCTCAGAGATTTCCCTGTGGCCCCTAGGACTGAGGTTGCAGAGCTTCTGAAAAGGGGAAATGCATGGTTCAAGGCAGAAGGGGAGTTAGAAAGGATTCTGGGTGAAGCCCCCCTCAGAGGGGAAGAAGAAAGGGGGAGAATGTAGAGGGTGTTTATAAAGGCGCTGGGCCAGGGCTCCAGTTCTGTCTGCCACTCAGATGCTGTGTGACCCTGGGCAAGTTGCTTCCTGTCCATAGAAGTGACAGTTGTCTGTCTGTAACTGAGAGGAGGAGGTGAGAACTTCTGAGGCCCCTTCCACACTTAGAACATCACAATCATCCTCCTTTCCTCCCACTTTGAGCCGATAGTGGTTTGGGCTTCTGCTTTCTCTTTCCTTTTAGTTTTAATTTAGTCCACACCACTTCTCTCCCTTGAACTTTGGCCACAGAAGCAATCTCTGGTGTCATTTCATGCTGTGTTTTGGAGAGAGCTGGGTGGGAGGGACACTCGAATCGAAGCTCTTTAGGTTTGGGACCACAACACTCTAACTTTTTATGCATTCAGCATCTGACATAGATAAGGCACTCAATAAGTATAAGCTGCAGAGTGAATGAATGAATGGATGTATGAATGAATGAGGTGCCTTGGATTCAGAGTAGTGGTTGCTCCCCTCTCTGCCACAGCTCCAAGAAAAAAATGTGGTTTGTTCTGCAGGTATCTGAGTTTGTTGGCGGGCTTGTTGGCAATAATAGCCTTGCAACTGGCCCCCCTTCCCTCAAAAGTTTTTCTTACACACACAGCTAGATGCATACCTTCCTACCCAAGAACCAAAGGCTCCCCTTAGGTTATGAGGCAAAATCCTGACATACAAGGCCCTCGGTGGTTGGATGCAAACTCCCATTTCTAATCCATCTCTGCCACCCACAAACCCTGAGGATCTCTCTCCTACCACTGGCCATCCCAGAATACAACCCACCTTAGCTGAAAATTAAGTGAAAACCAGGTGTTGAGGGACTCTAAGTGTCTTGTACATTAGAAGTGCTCAGTTTGTGCTATCGTCACTCCTGGTTTCTAGGAATTCTAGAAATTCCTGGGTTCTTCTCTTGTGTGTTCCCCTCAGCCTCCTGAGGCCTCCCAGTTTCTGTTCCCTTAGATTCCATTGCTCTTTCCTTTCCACTCTCAGCCTGACTTTCTCTCGGTACATATTTTAAGGCACTTTCCTACTTGTCTCGGGATGTCTCTGTGGTCTGCAGCTGACTTCTTGAAAACAAAGCTCAGAAAACATCTTGGGATTCATTGCTCAGCTCCTACAGGGTGCCTGGCTCAGGCAGGTGGTGCCAGCTGCTGACTCCAAACCAGGCAGGCCCCCACGGGCACTTCAAGGCATCAGCTCAGTTACCCGACAAAGGCCAGGAGACAGGTGCACTGGGGCCCCGTTTTACAGATAAGGACACTGAGGCTCAGCGAGATCACATACATGCTCACAGTCAGTTAGTAGCAAGTCCGACTCCACAGCTCTTAACCGTGTTGCTCATTTATCTTCTGGTAACAGTTACATTAAGTTGGGCAAATACCCAAAAAAGTGCTCAGCTGACCCTCCTGGGGTCTGGGCTCACAGCCCTTGGAGGGAAGGAGTGGAGAAGACACAGGTAAATTGTCTTACTCTCAGACTCATTATGTCAAAGATGAAGAGAGTGCTCTTCAAAACTGTTGGATCTAACCCCTCACTGTACAAATGGAGAAACTGAGGCCCAGCAAGGGCAGTGGCTGGTTTAAGGTCACACAAGACCAGACACCAACACCACCCACCCCTTGTTCCCTGCATGGCTACTACATTAAACACATCCTGGACTGCCAGGATAGGTCAGGTCAGCCAGCATAGGGAGCAGAGCCCTTCAGCCAGCAGGCACCTTCATGCCACGGTCGCTGGACAACTTAAGATCCAAGTCTCGGGGCAGGAACACAGATGGGGCAGGGAGGCAGAGAAACTGCAGCGGGGCCTCCTGCTTATCAGTGATCTCTGCCAAGCAGAAACTTCCCACAGCCCTCCCCAGAACACCATCGTATCTGGTGCCCTTGAACAGTTCAAAAGAGGAACTGTGGGTCTGGTTGTGATGGGTGAGGTGCACACAGAGAAACACCCAGGCAGCAGAGGGAGGAGAGGGGACCTGAGGCCCAGAGTGGACTGGTCAGCAGTCTCAGGCTGGACATGGGTGCAGACTCCCGTTCAGGGTTCCCAGGGAAGAGCATGCAGACCAAACTCCCTCCTGAGCAAGCTGCACCTCGGCTCCAATGAGGATGATCCAGGTTGCAGGTTCTAGGTCAGAAACACAGACCCCCATTGGAAGTGTGTTTGTGTATTTATGTGTCTCTTTTTATTTAAAGAAAGAAGGGGAAAGAGAATGATTTGGAGACACATCTGAGAATGTTAGAAGAGAAAGCCAAGATTTTTGTCCAACTCTCTCACTTTGTAGATAAGGAAACAGAGACTCAGGGATGGAAAGAGACTGGCCCAAGCGCAGAAAGCAAGTGAATGCAGATGCCCCGGATCTGGACTCCCGGTTCAGTGCTCTAGTGCACGACCTGGAAGGAGGTGGGCAGTGAAATGCCGGGAGGCTCGTCACTCCCTCCCCTCCCGCAGTACCCTCAGCTGGCACCCGCCACCACACCCCACCATTTGAAGCACAGACATCACTCATTTCACAGACAGAGGCTCAGTATGTTTTTGGATTTGATCAAATCCAAACCAGGGCAGAGGCTGTGGCAAAGGACAGAAGCTGGGAAGGGCTGAGGAGGAAGACGGAGAGCGGACGTGGACGGGATCGATGGCTATGGTTCTTCAGCCGCTCAGATGTGCGCAGGGGTGTGACCGAGCCGGGCCATTGGTGGCCTGCGGTAAGGGGAGCCTTTTCTAACCTCAGCTGAAGACCTGAGCCATGCTGAGCCCTCCCCCCACCCCACCCCTTCCTTAGTCTCTAGAGCTATTGGGCGTGGTCACGGCGGGCGGTGCTGCTGACCATTTCTCAGCAGGAGTGCCGTCAGAGCCGGTGGCCCTCGTCATCGCCTCCACAGATAGCCAGCAAGGCCTTCAGGAAGTGTCCAGAGGTGTCACCCTGGCAGGGGTGGAGGGAAAGCAGAGTGAGCGGAAGACCCTGATGGCCTCAGTGCCCCCTCCTCCCAGCCGCTGTCAGCCTGGGTGTCTCCCTAACACTTAAGCGCACGGATATCCCTTCCGATATCCCTTCCGTGGCTCCCCATTATCTCAGGGAAAGCTCTCGGTCTGGCTTTAAGGCCTCCTGTGGTCTGACCCCCATTAAGCTCTGTGGTGTCATCCTCCCTTCCTTCTGGGAGCATCTCGGTTACCTTTACACCTGCTATCCCTTGTCTGGCACACCTTCTGTGCGGCCCCCAAATCCTGCCGGCCACCAGATGTCCCTCCTCCTTGAGCTCTCCCACCCTCTACTCTTGTCTTGTGCAGAGTGACCCCACTTCCTTTGGCTCCCCTGCACTCTGCTAATACCCTTTCCCATGGCATCAGAACATGTTATGGGAGCAGACACGGAGCACTTACTGGATATCCGGCCTTTGCAGGAATTTATGTGACTATCACTGTGTTCAAGACACATTATAATGTGCAGCATAAAATAGGGCTGGGATGGGGGAGGCCAGACTTTCACCCTCCTTTTAGAGGGCCTTCTGTCATTTTTATGATACACAGTTTTTGGTTTGGATTTTTTTGTTTGTTTTTTGTTTTGTATTGATCCACGATTTAAAAAATAATATATCATCATTATAAACAATTCAAATTATACAATAATTTGTATTACACAAATTATTATACAATAAAAGTCTCCCTCAAACCCACGACTCACTCCTAATTCCCCAAATCAGGAGGTAGCCATTGTTACTATTTTCTTGTATGGTTTTCCTACAATAGTCGGTGCATATATACAGATATGTGCATCCCTTCCCTACACAAATGGACACACAGCATTCATGCTATTCTGGGCCATACTTTTTCTATTTAGAGAAGATTCCCAAATCAGCACATAGAGCTGCTTCATGCTTTATCACGGCTGCATGATATTCTACTGTGTGGATATACCATCATTTATTTAACCAGTTCTATAAGGAGCAGTTCCAATCTTTTGCTACTATAAACAGTCCTAGCATAAATATTCTCTTTCACATCTTTGGGAACATGTGTATCTATGTCTGTAGGCTACATTCCTACAAGTAGAATTACCAAGTCCAGAGTGTACACATTTTAAATTCTGAAATGGCCAAACTACCCTTTAAAGATGTGTTACCAATTTATATCCCCAGCAGATCTGTGTGAGATTGTCTGTGAGATTTCCCACAGTCTTGTCAACCAAGCACAAGTATCAAAGTAAGATCTTGGCCCACCTTAAAGACAAAAAAAAATGGGCCCTCTAAGCAGACAAAAGATCACATATTACATGATTCCACTTATATGAAATATCCCAAAAAAGGCAAATTTAGAGAGACAGAAATTTGCTTAATGGTTGCATAGGGTGGAGGTGGGGACAGGTTCTCTGGTACAAGGGATCTCACTAGGGTGACAGAAATTTTCCAAACTGGATTTTGTTAATGGCGGCACAACTCATTAAATTTATAAAAAATTATACCCTGAAACAGGTGAATTTTATGGTATTTAAATTATACTTCAATAAAGTTGTTTCTAAAAGAAAAAAGGGGGAGTCTCTTGTTTTTTTTGGAAACCCTTAATTATAGACTTCTGACCCATATGGAAGTTATAATGCATAAACAATGAGGCAGGTTTCATTCAGCTTTTTCCCAGCTGTCCTCAGAGGGGACTCACTGAGAAAAAGACTGGGAGTAAGAAGGTCTACTCTCACACTCAGGGATGGGACAGTCACCCCTGCCCCGACCTCCAGTCTCCCCCTTACCTCAATGGCTTGGTAAAGAGACTTGTCATATTTTTCAACAAACTCCTGCCGGATGTTGAGCAGGTCGATCTCACTCCGGGAGACCATGACTCTGGTGAGGGTCTTCTCATCTGTGCCAGCACCCTGAGGGAGCCAGGTGAGAGGTAGACACAGGGCCAGGTCAGGCAAGAACTAGTGGGTGTCCACCTGCCTCTCTCCCTTTTCCTTCCCAAACCAGGCTGTGTGTGTACGTGTGGTGGTGGTGGTGGTGACAGTAATGCCTGTCTTCCCAAATAATCACGATCCAAACTCCCCTGTGCCTAGGACGAGCCAGACAGAGGCAAAAATGGCTTGTATGAGTTGAATACTGTGCCTCCCAAATTCATGTCCACTAGAACCTTACAATGTTACTTAATTTGGAAATAGGGTCTTTGCATGTGTTATTAGTTGAGGTCATACTGGAGTAGCATGGGCCCTGGATCCGATGACTGGTGTCTCTATAAGAAGAGGACACACAGACATACACACAGAGAAGGCCATGTGAAGATAAAGGCAGAAGGTGGAACCACAAGAGAGAAACCCCAAGATTCCTGGCAAACACCAGAAGTGGGGAGTGTGGCCTGGGAGAGTTTCTCCCTCACAGTCTCCAGGAGGAACCAATCCTGCCAACACCTTCATTTTGGACTTTGAGCCTCTAGAACCATGAAGGAATAAATTTCTGTTCATTCGATTTGTGGTACTTTGTTACAGCAGCTTTTTAGGGAAACTAATATAGGGCCCACAAGCAGTCACAGGACATGGAATGTGTGGGCAGCCAGGGCCCATCTCTGGACCCACAGAGCCAGAACTCCAGTTCAGCAGTCAGAGCTGGCACGGGGTGGGTGCTAAATAAATGGCTGTCCTCTTCGGGGACTGTGGGCTGAGAGGGGTCTCAAGCTCACTCCCGCCAAGAAGCCTGCTCAGGCTCTGTTAGCAGCTGAGACTCCACATGCTGGGCTCAGAGGGCAGCCAGAGGGGCCTGAGTTTTCAGGAAGTCAGAGCTGAGCAATTCCTACTTTTTGGGATCATTTGTCACAGCAGACACTGTAAAACCTGCTCTAGTGTGAGCTCCCAGACATCAGAGACTGTCCTACTCAGCCCTGTACCCTCAGAGCAAGTTTCCCTGCCTTGGCATGGGGGCCAATCACTCTTGTTGCAGGGATCTGGGTTGCGCATTGCAGAATGTCAGCAGCTGGCATGGGGGCCAATCACTCTTGTTGCAGGGATCTGGGCTGCGCATTGCAGAATGTCAGCAGCATCCTTGCTTTCTGCCGACCAGATGCCAGCAGTAACTCTCCCCAACTTGTGACGATGGAAATGCATCTGAATGTTACCAAATGTTCCCTAGGGGACAAAGTTAACTCTGGTTGAGAACCAGTGTTCTAGAGCCAGCCCTGGGGCAGATGCTGATAAATAGCATGTAGGTGAAAACAGCTGCCTCTGATCTGGGGGATGGTACACATCTGTATTTGTGGGTGAGCTGACATGCTTGGAGGGAAAGCAACAAACAAGCAAATTTACTTACCTTCATTGACTTGTAAAGTTTGTCAGCAAAGAAGAGAGGCTTGTTCTTGACACTTTGAACTGGGTAGGAATGAAGAAAGATGCAGGGAACCTGGTCAGAGGAGGTGAGCCCAGACTCTCCAATGCCAGGGTCCTACTCGGGGCCTGACACCGCTTTCCACTGCTGGATCCTCTGCCTTATCGCCAGCCCTGACTCTCACTTCCTGGTTGCATCTCACTTCCTGCTAAGGTGCTTGCTGCTGAACAAGGTTAGGAGAGGACTCTTAGGGAAGAAACCCCTCATAAACCCAAGGCGCAGGGCCTGAAATTCCTAAGTGCATCAGAATCACTGGAGAATTTGTTTAAATCCCAGGATTTGGATTCCACCCTAGAGACTCAGATTTCAAGAAGTATTCTGAGCATCAGTTTTCAAAGGATAGCTTCTAGACAGCTGCATCAGCATCATTTGGGAACGAGGTAGAAATGCCAATTCTATGCCCTACCCCAGATGTGCTCAATCTGCAACCCTGAAGGTGGGTGACCCGCTTGTCCCACTCTGCCTGGGACATTCCTGGTTTTAGCACAAACCAAGATGGTTGGTCACCCTATTCTGGTATGGCCTAATGTTTGAGAACTACTGATTTAGATTTAGAGAATACTAGGCCAAAGAATGGCTGTCTTTGGGTACAATTTAAGGCGCTGTGCCAATCCCTGTGTGTTGCCCCAGAGCTTGCACACTCTAGTGGCATTGGCAGTCACAGCCACCCAGATAAGACCTGCCTGGCTGTACCAACCGCAGCCCCTTCTCAAGGCCTGCAGGGTCTCTAGCCCACAGCAGCTGCCGATCTCAAGGCTGCAGAGCCCACCTGGGGGTGTTTCAGACAGCTCAAGGAGGAGGAATCAGACACCGGCACCAGAAAGCCAGAAGGACTCTGGACAGAAACGCTTCTCTATGAGGAAGGCAGGGAGCAGGAGGCTGGGGTCGAGCCCCCCAGGGCATGGCCACACAGGAAACAGTCCCGCACCCTCCCCGTGGCAGGCTCAGAAGTCTGAGGGAAAGGTCACACGCACTGACAGTTCCAGCTCCTTATGTACAGTGTGTGTGCAGCGGGAGTGTGAGTGCATACATGCCCTAGTTCTGCAGGGCTCTGCGCCCCTACCAGCCCTGCCAGAATCTTCCTGGTTTCTTCCCTGGGGAGAGCTCTTTCCTCATCCTGCCCTGCAGCCTGGAACCAGTCCATGTTACCCGCCAATCACACGTGCGCCAGGACCCCTGGAGCCGTAAGTGGCAGTGTTTATTTCCCGGTACTAGTAGCTGAGGAAGCTGCCAAGGCCACACTCGTCCAGGGAATCCGGCCATGCTCATGCTCCCAGTGTCCCCCACCCTTTCCCTTGACCTCCAGACCCTTCCCTTGGTCCCTGTTGGTTACCAATGGCCACAAATGCATCCCTGACATCCCCGGACATCTCCTTGTTGATGGTGTGCTCCACATCATAGTTGGTCATCCTGACGAACTCCTGGAAGACTGGCCCCAAGAAAAGCCCCGGAGGTTGGGGGTGAGTGACAGTTCAGAGAGGGGGGGGTCACCCCTCCCCTGCCCCTCTAGCTCTGCCAGAAAAGTAGAAGGGGCACCAGGTATGACCACAGCCCAGGGTCTAGGTGTGTTGGACAGGATCACTACAGGATGGAAGTTCAGGTGACCTCGGGCTCAGAGCAAAATCTGTGTCAAGGCAGACAGTGCCCCAGAGCCCAGAACAAATTCTAGGCACCTGGGCTGGGGTAGTAGAGGGAACATGGGTCCTTGTCACAGCCCCATCCTGAGCTCACTGAATGAGCCCATCCTCCTCTCTGGGCCTCCCCTTCCTCTTGTGTCAAGTTGAGACGGAGATTAATTTGAACATCATTAATGGTAACACTAAGGAAGTGATTATGTGCCAGGCATTGTGCTAAGTGCTTTCCGTGTATTGTAATTTTTGTATTCTCACCATAATCATGTGAGGTAGAACTAAAATCCTGATTTACAGGTCAGGGAATCAAGGCACAGACAGTAACTTGCCCAGGGTGACACAGCTGAGGGGCAGGAGGCCTGAATCCAGGCAGTCTAGCTCCTGAGTCCCTTCTTTCAGCGACTGCATTAAAGCACCTTATGTATTTTACTGAAAGGTGCCAGGCAAATGCACATTAAGATGTAAATGTCTCAGTGGAAAGGGCACTTCCTGACCAGTTGGTGCCAGGGCCATTGCAAGCCAGTGCCCAGTGTGTGGCAGCCTGTCACTCAGTGGTGCGGATACGGTCCTTGGGTCGTCAGCGTCATCAGCCCTCATCGCTTTGCTCTTGGCAGAAACCACCGAAGGATCATGACACAGAGCCTTCGCATCCTTCTCAACGCAGCATTCCAGGCAGCACTACCAATCCCTGAGAGCAGCCTTGGAAGCACAGGCGATGTGCCACCCTACCTGCTGCCCTAAGGAGGTGAAGGAGCTGGCCTGAGGCTGGATGGCCCTTGAGCAGCAGAGTCAGTATCAGACCCTGGGCTTCTGAGTCCCAGCTGGCCATGGTACTCCACTGCAAGGGTTAAGAGTGGGTGGGTGGGCGACTGGCAACCCTTGTCATAGAGTGGGGAGGCCCTCATCAGGTCCAGGGATCTTCCTGCTGAACAGGGAAGGAGTAAGGCCTCACCTCTCCGGAGGTGCTGATAGCTACGGGTGCACAGGATCGTCATGAAACGCGTCTCCAGGGAAGTTTTGTCTCCGCTGGGCCTGTCTGCTATTTCCTGCAGAGCCCAGGTGGGGGCAAGGATTTGGGAGGGAAGACACAAGGAACCCCCAGTTATTGTTCCTTCTCACGTCTTTGCCTAGGCTGAGGGTGGCTAGAGGCTGGGCTAAACCAGCCACCTAAGGAGGCTAATGGCCTCTTCTTCTTTCCTCAGCCTCCACATTTCCCTGCCCAGTTCCCAGGGTCCCTGTGGACTGACACCAAGGAGCTCAGCACTGGGCAGGACCCCACCCTGGCCTCAGGGCCATGGGGTAGGGGCCCAGGTGAGGGGCAAGCAGGCGCTGGGCATGGAGACTCAGAGTGCACCTGCTGTCCTTAAGCCCCACTGAAAGCCCCCCTGGGAAAGTGTGCCTGTGCACATACGCAAGAAAAAATGGCCCAGCCAGTGCTTCCCAAGTGTGGTGAACAGGCAAACATTTTAACACTCCACAGATGTATGTTTCCACAATGATCTAGCCAGCTACTGGTTCTATTTACATCAACATTGAATTTCTCTTTAAAATAAGTATTTCAGGTTAAAAAAAGGGCCCATTTTAAGAAAAATATTCACAGCTAGTGGAATGTGCGAGGTGAGTGGCTAAAGTTTGGGAAACACTTGCCTAGCCCATTTTTTACCCAGTGAGGTTCGAGGCCCTGAAGGGGAGAGAGAGAACCTTTGTGCTGCCTGACTGCCCCCCTCAGCCCCGCCCAGAGGCGCAGCTAGACTCAGACCTCACTCAGAGAGCCATTAAAACCCATGAGAAGAACACAACACTCACCAAGATCTCAGCAGCCACCTGAAAGTGGGGAGGAGAGAGGAAGGAGAGAGGGGAGGCACGAGTCAGAGGAGGCCGGAGAGGGTGGCTCTGGGGGCCCTGGGGTGTAGGGGCAGGGGCCTAGCTCGGGGGCACAGGGAGAGAACCACCTTCCCCTGACCTTTGGGCTGCAGCTCAAAATGAGGACAGGCCTGGGCACTCAGCACAAAAGTGGGCACCTGGGGGAGAGGCCAGGACACAGAACAGGGTGCTCCACCTGTCACCCAGCAACCAGGATACTGTCAGACAGCATGCTTGTCTCCAGACGCACTCAGACCTTAGAACATGAGAGGTGCCTGTTCCCTATGCTCTTGACCACTTTCAAAGTCAGAAGGGCCTCGACAGACATGTCACTTCACCCCCTTGTGGTACAAACAGTAGAGACAAGAAAGCTGAAGCCTGGAGGGCAGGGGCCTTCCCCTGGGGCTCTGCCAGCTCTTTAGTCGTTTCACAAAGGCAAATTTTAATCCCTGCGTTATGCCCAACACAAAATCCTGTTGTTAGGACACTATTTTGTTAGGAGAGTAGTTATGACTAGAAGGGCCTGGGAACAAAATCTAGCCAGCCCTGTGTACCCCAGACTGAGTTTGGCCTTTGCCTGTTTCCTTGAAACTCCACTGACCACTTTATTCTATTGAACAAACTGAAACCACCCTCTTTATAAACTTCATGATAGCCTATGGCTTTAGAAATCTTCTTTCTATTATATAAATTGACAAAGTGTGTCAAAATTTAAAATGCACACGCTGTTTGATCAGGCAACTGTATTGCTAGGGGAATTAGCTTTACAGATACACTGGTCAGTGTCTTGAGATATACTACAGGGGTGTTCAATAATACAAGGGTGCAGTATTCTTTTTAATAGTAAACAATTGGAATAATTTCAGTTTTATAAGCATTAATAGCATTAAAGGATGATTTGTTAAATAGGCTACAGTTCTGCCAATAATGGAAATCCACACAGCTATTAAAAAGAATGAGACTGTGCTAATAAGGAGAGAGTTTCCATTTAAATCAAGCAGAAAACTGAAGTATGGCATACAGTGTTGCTTTTATGTAGCTAAAAGATAAATACACATTCACTCTTACATACTTACTGGGGAGTCATGCTAGGCAGGTAGTCAAAATACCATCGACAGTGGTTATCTTTGATGATTACTGTAGGGGAAAGCTTTTGCATTTTACTTTATTTTTCCTGAAATTTTACATTTTCTGAACATTGCAAATATTGTTGTTATATATTTTTGCAGTGTCAGATAGGAGTTATCATGGTTACTAGGATTATGGGATCTTCTGGTTTTTATTTATATTTTTCTATATTAAAAACAACCTAGGTGAACCCTGAGGACGTTATGCTAGTGAAATAAGCCAGTTACAAAGGACTAATACTATGTGGTTGCAATTTTATGAGGTACTTGGAGTAGTAAATTCATAGAAACAGAAAGTAGAATGGTAGTTGCCCTGGGGCTGAGGAGCAGGGAATGGAAATTAATGTTTAATGGGTACAGAGTTTCAGTTTTATAAGATGAAAAGAGTTTAGTGCATGGATAGTAGTAATGGTTGCACAACATGAGTGTACTTAATGTCACTGAATTGTACCCTTAAAAATGGTTACGATGGTAAATTTTACTATACTATGTGTATTTTATTATATATTATCTTTTATTGTATGTTATGTGCATTTTAACACAATTTTTAAAAAGTTATGCTAAGAAATTGCCTATTTTTTAAAAAAGAGGAACCTATTTTAAAAAATTAAAAAAGAATCTGAAGAAAAAAAAAAAAGAATCTGAAGTACCAAACATTCTTCATTTTTTTCCGCCAGAGAACTCAGACATATTTATCTTTTCAAAGCATCTTTAAGACAATATTTGTAATATGGAAAATGCAGTGGGTTACTAAAATAATTTTCCAGATATTCAACACACAAAAGCTTTTCCTCATTAGGCTAGCTACTTCATGCAAAAATTAATCTGGTGGGTTCCTCCAAAAGTCAAACAGAGAGTTATCATAGGACCTAGCAACTCCACTGCTAGATATATCCCCAAATGAAAACATGTGTGCACGCAAAAATGGGTGCACAAATGTTTATAGCAAGCAGCATTATTCAGAGCGGCCCCAAAGTGGAAACAACCCAAATGTCTATTAAATGATATATGGATTAAAAAAAGAGATACATCCATTTAATGAGCTATTTGGCAATAGAAACGAATGAAATACTGATATATGCTATAATACGAGCTTTGAAAATATTACACTAAGTAACAGAAACCAGTCACCAAAGACCATGTATTGTATGATCCCACTTACATGAACTGTCCAGGATAGGCATAGACAGAAAGGAGATCAGCGGTCGCTTAAAGCTGGTGACTGGGAGGAAGTGAGGAATAATGCAATATGCACAGGGTTTCTTTGTGGGGTGAAGAAATGTTCTAAAATTGACTAAGGTGAGGGTTGCCCAAGTCTGTGAAGATATAAAAAACCACTTGAAGTGTATGTACACTTCACATGGGCGATACTATGGTATATGAATTATATTTCAATAAAACTGTTATTTAAAAAATAATAATCTGGGGATTGAATTATCTAAAACTGGCTGTAATACTTCATTTCACTCTGCATCTACAATAATTAGATAACCTATATTACTCACTGCTCAACTGAACACTGACAGTGAAAGGCAAGCTATTAGCGACAGGTATGCTGTGGACATAATATATGTATACCCTGTTATTAACAGACACAGACCTCCAACACTTGAGGGTGTTCTAGATGCCCAGGGTGAGAATACAGGAAGGAGGAGGTACAAAACAAGCAGGCAAATGCTGCCGAGTATGTGCATTATCTTTCTGTGGGAGGAGACGTGGCTCTGCATACCAAACACCTTCAAGTTTAGTAAACCTTTTCTTCCAGCATTTCCATTTTGCCTCTAGAAATCTATTCTAAAGAAAGAAATCAGGCATGTGATAAAAAGTTGGTTACTAGGAAGAGGGCTGGTAGATTCTTCAATGGAATCATATACAGCCATTATATGATGTTCATTTTTTAAAATAATATGCAGTAGTCATAGCATATTAACTTTTAACTTTTATAAATCAAGAATCTATTTTTATATAAATGCAAAAAGACAAACAGTATGATAAATTCCAAAATACTACCAATGATTATTACTCGTAGGTTATGGATTTTTGGTTTGGGGCTTGTCTCTACTTTCTAGTTTCTGCAAGAGTATGTATTACTTTCAAAACAAAGTATTTCTAGGTACGAGAAAATGAGTCCACACTAAGATGAGGATCTAGTAGCTGTGCATCTGGAGAGGCAGCTGAATTGGGCAGGGTTCCCTCGGTTTTAATCACCCAGGTTCTCTCTCCCCGCTTCTCTGCCTGCAGAGCACTGCCAGTAAGGCCCACTGCTGCCCCCGCCCCCTGCTGGAAACAACTGGAAGCACAGCCTCACAGGTAGACCAGGCAACCAGGTGGAAGCATTTCCTGGACAATGAATTTTGGAGTAGAGGATGGATTTGGGTTGAGCTCTAAGGAGGATGCCAGGATCAAAGGCCCTCAACAGCACAATGGTGCTGCTCAAGAAGTACTTAATAAACATCTGTTGAATGAGTGAAGTGTGGCCTTAGCACACCATCCCAGTAGGTGTTCCCAGGCTTGTTCCCTACAATGCAGGTGGGAAACTACATTTGAATGGAACTCTGCAGCTTCTGACATCTGTATTCCAAACCGGGGGCTGGACAACTGGACACCAGCTGCTACCTAGTTTGGAAGCTGCTGGGAAATCACTGTACTGGGGTCCCAGAGGGTATTAAATGCTATTAAGTATAGGCATTGGAGTCAGGCAGGCCTGGGTTCAAGTCACACCACAGCCACTGAGACTGCTCTTGAATAGGTAATAAGGAGCTTCATTTCCCTTCAGTAAACAAAAAGGGCGGTGTAATAAAGTATAAAATAGTCTTAGCTCAGAGAGAACCAAGATGGCGGCAAGTAGAGCAGCGAAATCTCCTCCCAAAACCATATATATTTTTGAAAATACAACAAATACAACTAATCCTAAAAGAGAGTCCAGAAGACAGAGGACAACAGCCAGACTACATTCACACCCACAAGAACCCAGTGTCTCGCAAAGGGGGTAAGATACAAACTGCAGCCTGGCGGGACCCAAATGCCCCTCACCCCAGCTCCCGGCAGGAGGAGAGGAGTCGGAGCAGGGAGGGAGAGGGAGCCCAGGACTGCTGAACACCCAGCCCTAGCCATCCGCACCGGAGCGCAGACACACAGTGCATGGGTGGGGTGCTGGAAACTAGGGAAACAGGACAGTAAGACGTGCGAGCGGGTCCCCACAGCCGGCGCACCCAGGACAAAGAAAAGCGAGTGCTTTTTGAAAGTCTTAAAGGGACAGGGACCCCACAGCTAGACGGAAGTGTCCTGGGACACTTAGCCCAGCAGCTGGGAATCCCAGGGAACTCTGGGTGCCCGAACCCCCACAGCGCAGCTCGGAGGCCCCTTACCATGATAAACAGCCTCCCGCCTTCTCCCCCTCCGATGTGGCTCCGCCATACTGGAGAAGCAGCCTGAGGCAGGTCACGCCCACAGCAACTGCAGAGCTAAATAAACTCCATAGCGGCTGGGCAAGATCAGAAGCCCTGTCTGCATGCAGCTGCCCAGCACAAGCCGCTAGAGGCCACTATTCTCCCAGGAGAGGAAAGCCACAAACTGGCAAGAAGGGACTTTCTCTTACCCAACACACGTGCCAGCTCCCCACAAATATATCTATCGCCATGAAAAGGCAGAAGAAGTTGATACAGACCAAGATCACAGATGCAAACCCTGAGGAGATAGACCTAACCAGTCTTCCTGAAAAAGAATTAAAAATAAAGCTCATAGGGTATTATGCTCAGTGAAATAAGCCAAGCAGAGAAAGAGAAATACCAAATGATTTTACTGATCTGTGGAGTATAAGAACAAAGGAAAAACTGAAGGAACAAAACAGCAGCAGAATCACAGAACCCAAGAATGGACTAACAGGTACCAAAGGGAAAGGGACTGGGGAGGATGGGTGGGTAGGGAGGGATAAGGCGGGGGAAGAAGAAGAGGGGTATTAAGATTAGCATGCATGGGGGG